AACACCGAGTAGTGTGAAGTTGGGTATGTTGCATGTCACGAATGATTTCCTTGCTACGGTGTGTGAAAAGCAAAAGTTGGATTTGAAATTTGTGGATTTGATGACGAATGGAAATGAAGATTTCAAAGTTGATGAATTAGGAGTTTTGAGGTTTCGAGGTCGTATTTGTATTCCCGATGATGCGGATTTGAAAAAGATGATATTGGAAGAGGGACATCGGAGTAACTTGAGTATTCATCCGGGAGCGAATAAGATGTATCAGGATTTGAAGAAGATCTTTTGGTGGTCTGGATTGAAAAGCGATGTTGCTCGTTTTGTGTACTCGTGTTTGACTTGCCAGAAGTCTAAGGTGGAGCATCAGAAGCCTAGTGGATTGATGCAACCGTTGGATATTCCGGAATGGAAATGGGATAGTATATCGATGGATTTTGTTACGGGATTGCCGAATACGCAAAGAGGACATAATGTTATTTGGGTGATTGTTGATAGGCTTACTAAATCGGCTCATTTTATTCCGATTGATATTACTTATTCTTTGGAAAGGTTGGCCGAGATATATGTTGGCACTATTGTGAAGCTTCATGGAGTTCCTAAGAGTATTGTGTCGGATAGAGATCCTAGATTTACTTCAAGATTTTGGGAGAGTTTGCAAGGTGCCTTGGGTTCTAAGTTGAGATTGAGTTCGGCATATCATCCGCAAACAGATGGTCAGACCGAGAGGACGATTCAATCGTTAGAAGATTTGTTGCGTGCTTGTGTGCTTGAACAAGGTGGTGTGTGGGACGGTTATTTAGCATTGATTGAGTTCACCTATAATAACAGTTTCCATTCGAGTATTGGTATGGCGCCATTTGAGGCTTTATATGGTCAGAGATGTCGAACACCTCTGTGTTGGCATGAGACAGGTGAAAAGTCGGTAGTTGGTCCTGAAATGGTACAGCAAACGACGGAAAAGGTGAAATTTATTCGGGAAAAGATGAGAGCTTCTCAGAGTAGACAGAAAAGTTATCATGATAAAAGGAGAAAGGATCTCGAGTTTCAAGAGGGCGACCATGTGTTTTTGAGAGTTACACCGGTCACGGGTGTGGGTCGTGCTTTGAAGTCGAGAAAGTTGACTTCTCGTTTTATTGGTCCGTATCAGATTGTCGCACGAGTTGGTGCTGTGGCTTATCATGTGGCGTTACCTCCGAACCTTTCGAATTTGCATGATGTATTCCATGTCTCGCAACTTCGGAAGTATGTTCCGGATCCGTCACATGTGATCCCGATGGATGAAGTTGAAGTAAGAGATAATCTTACAGTTGAAGTTTTACCGGTTAGTATTTTGGACCGCGAAGTTAAGAAACTAAGAGGCAAGGATATTGCGCTTGTGAAAGTGTCCTGGGGAGGTGCCACAGAAGGCAACATGACTTGGGAGTTGGAGAGCAAGATGCGAGAATCGCATCCAGAGTTGTTTGAATCAGGTGATATTTTCGAGGACGAAAATTTCTAAAGTGGGGGAGAGTTGTAAGTTGTAACGCCCCGATTCTGAATTCCCATTAATTGTTGAGTCTTTTAATTTATTTAATTGATGTTTGTTTTAAATTGAGAAATTATATATTATTATGTGGTGTTTGCTTATTTTATCTATTTTTACCGATTCGGAGAGTTTTCGGGGAATTAAAGTAAAAAGGGCATTTTAGACATTTAGCAATTTAGTGTGAGAATTGATTTGGTAAGTGTTGGAAAGAATTTGAGAGGAAAGAAATAGAGATAGAAATAGAATAAGATAGGAAAAGAAAGAAAGATAGTAACATAAGAAGAAAAACAAGAGAAAGAAAAGAGGAGAAGAGAAAGAGAAGAGAAAGTGGAGAGGAAAACCTAGAATCATCAAGGGATCATCACCAAAGCTTGCAATCGATCGGTAAGGGTGTGAAACTCCATCATCTATTTAATGTATATGATTGTATGTGTATGGGTTTGGATTTTGTAGGGTTTCTACTCTTTTTCCACTTAGGTTAGAAGTTGGTTTTGTGAGTAGAATGAGGTTTTAATCGGTTAGAACTCGGATTAGACGATGTAGTTTAGTCGGGTGATGGTAGGGTTGTGCCACTGAGACTGGTTTGGATTTAATCGGTTGGTTGTGTGGAGTTTGGGCTTTGGAACAGCCATGGAGGTTCTGTCTTCGCAGGCTCGCCAGGCGAATGGTAGCGAAGCTTCGCCATGCGAAGCCCAGCGAGCTGCAGCGAAGCAAGTCAGAAGCTAACACCCTGTCTTCGCTGGCAAGTTCGCCAGGCGAAGTGAGTTGGCGAAGGTTTGCCAGGCGAGTGTGTAGCGAGCCTCAGCGAGTAATTCCAGAATTACTCCCAGTGGACTTCGCTGGGAAGTTCGCCAGGCGAAGGCCAGCGAGCATTCGCTGCGTGGCTTCGCCAGGCGAAGGTTGGCGAACCTGGCAGTGTTATTTGTTTTGCTGTTTATTCATAGCATGATTTTTGGCCGATTCAATTATGATTAATGCCTATATGAATGATTGATGTGTGAACTGTTTCGACATGTTGTGCTGTGGGTGGCCGAAAGGCGTGAATCCTATATTGTAGAGCCAATGGTGAATCTTGAACGTTTGATAATCTTGTGTATTTGCTTGAATTGAATAGAAACGCATTGATAGGCTGATATGTGTGTAAACCATGTGTGAAATGGTGCATAATGTGAATGCATGATAGATATATGTGATGTATGTGATAAATGCAATGAGTATGTTTGTGAACATAGTATGCATTCTGTGTTGATCGATCCCTCGGAGGATTAGCATTGTGTAGCATCTTAGTATGCATTTTTGTATTGAATGATCCCTCGGAGGATTTGCAGAACCTCGTATGATACGATGGTTACATTAGATTCCTTGGAGAATCGGTTGCATTGTGTGATTCCTTGGAGAATCGGTTGCATTGTGTGATTCCTCGGAGAGTCGGTCATAACATGTAATCCCTTGGAGGATTGACTAGAGTATTTGATTCCGTGGAGAATCTGCTGAGTATTTGATTCCGTGGAGAATCTGCTGAATATTCGATTCCGTGGAGAATTTGATGAATATTTGATTCCGTGGAGAATCTGCTGAATACTTGATTCCGTGGAGAATCTGCTGAATACTCGATTCCTTAGAGAATTTGTTGAAATGAGTCGGTACCGCATTTGCATCTGCATAGAGTCGTGTGTCGGTCTCTATGAGTTGCATGAGTCATCTGTGTATGATGCATTAGTTGTATGTATATAACTGTGTATGTTATATATGATTGTTTGGAGGAACATATAGTAAATGTTCATGTGTATGTGTAGAGGCATGATTAATTGTATATGCTTAATGTGGTGAGAACATAATTTGAGTATAACTTGTACAAATATGAGTATATGTATATATACAATTTTATGCATTAACTGTTATGATATTGTTTCTCACCCTTCTGCTGTTTTATAATGCTCTATGAGGCATTGCAGAGTAGGAAGCTGGAGGTTCTTTTTGTGAAGCGATGTCTTCATTCTTTTTGGTCAATGGCTCTGATATGTAACATCTGGGTAGTTAGGAAGCCTTTGACTCTTTTGAAGCTATTTTGTTTTGATTCTTTTGTGATACATATGTGTATGTATCTGCTGTGGATATGTTGTAAAGCATGAATTGATTGAATGGTTGTATATACTTTTATGAATGTGATCGATTCAATATTTGGATGTTTCCGCTTTTATTCTAAATATTGAGATGTGGGTTACCCATTGTTGCATATCTATTTTGAGCAGGTATCGTATGTGTTTAATTTCATGATAATGTGACGCGCCTCTTATATACCATGTTTTAATTAAACTCTGATGAAATAAATTTTCTAAGTGCCTAATTGATTTATTTGATTAATTTGGGGGTATAGAAAGGGGGTGTTACACTTAACACCTTGACTTAGTGAGGCTTCATCTTGCTCGTTGAAGCCTTTTTCAATGATATCTCACACATCTTGAGCTCCTAGTAGCGCCTTCATCTTGATACTCCAATTGTCATAGTTGTTCTTTGTGAGCATCGACATTTGAAAAGGGAAACCTCCATTCGCCATCTTTTGAGAACCTTCAAGCTCTGATGCCACTTTGTTGGAAATAAAGTCTTTTGTGTTTAGTGAAAGCGTGTGAAAATATTAGAGGTTTGAATAGAAACTTGATAGATAGGAGAATTATTTATGGAAAAGAGAACTTTGTATTTTGCTTGATACAAAATTGTAGAATTACATCTCTATTTATAGTACTCTAAAGAGAACTCTACACACACTAATTCTAGAGAGTTCTCAACTCTAGGTATTCCAAGAGCATTCTAGAAAATATTACAATCCTAAAAAATATCTAGACAATCCAAACACTACAAGAGTTTTTTAGAAACATTACTTAAGTTACCTAAACCCAAAATAATTAAACCCAAAAAGGCAAATAATATGTATAGATCCAAATCAAATTTAATCTTTTCAACAGAAACTATGTAGTGTTTTATTTGGCAAAGTCCTATATCAGGACGCCCATCGCCTAATAAGTAAGATGATGCCTGGACACAGTACAATGAACTATATATATAATTTAAAAAATAAAATATATATTTATAATATAAAATATTTTTATATTATCAATCAATAAAAGCCGTGTATCCCACCAAATAATATTTTAATTTTTAAACTATTAATATAACATGATTGAGTGATAAAATATTATTTTACACAAACAATACATATTATTTTACTAAAATTTCATTTTTCTTAATAAAGTTTATAAACTATTGAATGTAAAAGTCATTTTCTTACTTTACAAAACCCTAACAACCTAAACACTTTACAAAACCCTAACAACCTAAACATTTTACAAAACCCATTGGGCCCACAAAGAGTTTAACAATCCAGTGAAAACCCTAACTCTTCATTTCTATGCCTATTTTAACTCATCTCCCATTTCTCTTCCCCGAAGCCTTCCTTTCAGAAACACCACCTTGAACCCTACCAATGGCGATCAAACCTACAAAAGCTGAGAAGAAGCAGAATTACGATGCCAAGCTCTGCCAACTCATCGATGACTTCACCCAAATCCTTGTTGTTAACGCCGACAATGTCGGATCGAACCAGCTCCAGAGCATTCGTAGCGGTCTACGTGGTGACTCGGTTGTTCTCATGGGTAAGAACACCATGATGAAGCGTTCCATTCGTATCCATGCTGAGAAAACCGGAAACAAAGCATTTCACAACCTTATTCCCCTTCTTGTCGTGAGTTATCTTATCTTCATATTTCATTATTTCATTGATCCATGCATGAATTTGATCGAATTATGGGTATTCTCGTAGAAAGCTACGAAATTTCATTATTTTGATTTATTCGCACGTTAAGTGCTTTTTTTACGATCAAAATTGTATTTTATGTTTTAATTTCTTTACTAGATTGAAAGGATTTGATTATGGTTATTATTGTTAAGCCTATTTTTGATGATTTGTACATTGTTTTGCTTGTTCAATCAGGGAAATGTTGGTTTGATTTTCACAAAAGGTGACTTGAAGGAAGTTAGTGACGAGGTTGCCAAGTACAAGGTGAAGTTATCTTTTCACAATTGTAGAGTGTTATATGCAATGTTATGGTACTGTTGCTCTGTTTTTGTTGCTGCTTTTTGTTTTGTTCTTTTAATTCGATCCATGAAATCGTCGATATAAAATATTTTGTGATCACTGATTTAATCGAATAAGTTATCTTATTTGTAAATTTGATTTTTGTACATTGTTTTTGTTCTCTTGATCTTTGCATGTTTTGGTCTTCTCTATTTTTGTGAGTTATCGATGGATTTACTATATGTTTGTATTCTCATTAACAATTCTCTGCTGAGAATTTGGTTGATGTATGGCAATGGCAGCAATGTGGTTGAATGTGCTCACCTGTCACATTAATTGAATGCTTATTGAATACTGAGTTGTCTTAAATTTGAATAGGTTGGAGCTCCTGCTCGTGTTGGTTTGGTTGCTCCAATCGATGTCGTTGTGCCTCCAGGCAACACAGGGCTCGACCCCTCTCAGACTTCTTTCTTCCAGGTTTGTTTGCAATCTTCTTTAAACATTGAAATTGAGATTTATTGTCACAGATATCAAACTTATGTTTATTCTCTACTTTAGGTGCTTAACATTCCAACCAAGATTAACAAGGGAACTGTGGAAATCATTACCCCTGTGGAGCTCATTAAGAAAGGAGACAAGGTTGGATCTTCTGAAGCTGCATTGCTTTCCAAGTTAGGCATAAGGCCCTTTTCCTATGGGCTTGTGGTCCTTCATGTTTATGATAATGGTTCAGTTTTTAGCCCTGAGGTTCTTGACCTCACCGATGATGACCTCGTTCAGAAGTTTGCTGCTGGGGTCTCAATGGTTGCTTCACTTTCTTTGGCTATCTCATACCCAACGCTTGCAGCCGCTCCTCATATGTTTGTTAATGCATACAAGAACGTTCTAGCAGTTGCAGTTGCTACAGAGTATTCATTCCCCGAGGCAGACGAGGTTAAAGAGTACCTGAAGGTATTGGATTCAACAAACTAATGATCTTGATGCTAAAATAGTGATTTAACATTCACACATTTCTTATATATTTATTTTGTTCAATGCAGGACCCAAGTAAGTTTGCCGTAGCTGCAGTTGCTGCACCAGCTGCTGCTTCCGCTGCTGCCCCTGCTGCCGCCAAGGAGGAGACAAAGAAGGAAGAGCCCGAAGAAGAATCCGATGAAGACATTGGTTTTGGTCTGTTTGACGAATAAATCCTTCAATTTTGCTATTAGTGGAGTTAATAAATTTTGCTTTATTATTTAGATGAAACAATACTTGATTCATTTTAGGAGGATATCTGTTTTTTACTTTTCATATATTTATCAAAATTTTGTTATATTTTTTTGTTGCTCAATAACTTGCACCCTTTTATGTTTTTAAGTTGCATTTGGAAAGCAAATAAAGTAGTGTTTATTTCTCAAAATATTTCTTTGGAGGGTAAAAACAGGACAGAGAGTGATCACAAAAAAACAAAACACAGGTGTGGTGATTGAATCAAAACTGACAATGAGTCACACTCATGTCAGTTGACTAAGCAAAATGGGCCCACACAACTCCTTCACGCAAAAGAAAATAAACTCGCTGCAGCATTTAAAATTGTGTCTTAGTCGATACGAAATCTATAAATTTTTTAAAAATATTTGGATGTTGGTTAAATTAAAATGTTTCTCCATTAGTTGAAAATAATTTAGAAAATAAATTAAAGAGTATACACTATATAATGAAATTCACAACTTTGTCACATTACCCATTATTAAATAAACATTACCTTCATAGTTGTTACATCCTAATAATTTTTTCATGTAGAATTTCAAATTTTAATTCTCCATTTTATTTTCTTCTAATTATTCAAATAATTATTTCCTTATAAATCAATAGCAAATATTTATCCAATAATATTATAATCCAATGTCCACATGTTATAACAATCTGAGTTGTAGACGAGGTCTTAAATCAATATATAAAAATATTGGGAGTTGGTATGCCCCTCTTCATAAAGAGAGTACTATATTTTATTTTTTATGAAAATATACTTCTTTTTTTGTTGTAAATAAAAAAAAAGATAGAGAGATAATGAACAACATATAGAACTCAAACATTACTCATATGTAAAATAAAAAGGATGAGTTAACTAAAGATACACATATATAAACACGAGTAAACATGTTGTTGGACCATACTTCTCCCCACGATTGGAAGCATCTAGCTTTGAGATCAATTTAATAAGAGAAATTATTTGTTAATGTTCTTCATCTTTCTTGATGTCGAACTTTATATTTATCTTTTGCGTTTCATGTTTCTTTGATCTATTTAAGGAAGTTGTTATCCCTTTCTTCTTCTCAGGCTATATAAGATCTACGATATTTTCTGCTTTTTCTCTTCGTCTTGTAGAACTCTTTCTTGATCTCTTGTGCTTAATCAAATTTGGACAGTTGATTTTGTAATGATCGAATACCTCATTCATAACAAGTCACGTGCATGTTATCCTTATTTTTGTTTTCATATTCTTTGACGGATGACACTTTCTAAAATTTATCGAATTCTTGTCTAAATGCATGAGACATATTCTTTTGATGTGTTTGTTGTAGTGTTTCACGAACAAACCTGTTTTTTTAAGAATCGTCATCAGTACTCTCATCATCTTTCTTTACTTTGGTCATGGAAGACGAGGCTGAAGGTGAGAAAAACACTTAGAAGGGGAGGGGGGTTGAATAAGGGTTTAGAAAATATTATGGCAATAAAAACAACACAAGATTTTTATCCTGGTTCGTTGAACTCAACTAATCCAGTCCACTCTATCAAAAGTGATTTGTCTTTCTCCACAAGGACTTAATCCACTATATTCAAACAGATTACAATGTCAACCACTAAGAACAACTGTTTTAGTCTTCTCAAGAAATTCTGACCACAACTTGGTCTTCTCAAGGAACCTTTTACAAATAAATGTAAACTAACAAGTGTTTAGATGCTTCTAAAAAGCTATATCACAAACTGTGATTTGTACACTTAGTTTAAGAACAAATAAAACTATTCAGCTTTGAATGATTGTATGAGAGTTGAGAATAATTTCAATGAATTTTTCAATAGTTCGTTCGCCTTGAAGAGATGTTGAAGACGTCCTTTTATATTGCTGAAAGTCCAATGCTTGAAGACTGTGCAAGTAGAGTAGTTGTAGCCTTTTGTCTTCACATGACTTTTCCTTTCTCAAAAGTAGAATGTTCAGAGAAATGCCTTTTGCCTGAATCATTGTGTCTATCACAAATAAGGAATAGTTCCGTTGGAGAGGACGTTGAGAATAGTACCAAGTCTATTCACGTGCCGACATCTTTTCAAACATAAACAACATCAGATCCTCTAATGTGCTTCTTGTTCTTCAGATCAGATTCAATGATATCAGAGTTGCAGCAATAGTGCTTCAGCGTGAGTGATCTGATCAGAGCATAACTGTTTTTCAGAGCCTCTGTACTTGCAGCGTAAAGTACATTCAGAGTCTTCTGAAACAATGCTTGAAACTCTTCATACAAAATCTTCAGCTACGCTTCAGATGCTTCTGCAGCTTCTGCTTCAGAGTCTTCTGCAGCTTTTGCTTCAGAGTCTCTTCTGGCAGCGCTCAGAGTCTTCTGATGGCTTGCTTCTGATGCTTCAGAGCTTTGCGTAACTTGCTGTTCAGATGCATTTTGCTTCCATAATGATATTTAATTTAATATCTGAAACACAAAACACTTGAACAAAATTAGAGTATATATTTTCTTAATACAAAATTTCATTGGAGTTATCATCAAAACATAGAGATATAATTAAACACCAATCTATGTTCTAACAGAGGCCTTCAAGGATATACTTTTCTTATCTTCTTTTGCTTTTTATTTCTTTTTCGCATTAGTCTCGCTTGCTTCTAGTCTGTTAAGTCATGGTCATCCTCATTAAGCTTTCTAAATAGTATTGTCATATTTAAAATCTTCAAATCATGTGATTCGTTTATGCATGTTACTTTTGACTATCATTCTAGCTCTTAACATGGACTTTAACCCTTTGTTAGCACAATCCTTGTTAGATAATTTTTTTACTATATTCTTTAATTTGTTGATTCAATTAATAAAGCACATCTTTATGGATTTCGCGAGTTCACAGGATTCCATACAAAATAACATATATTTTTTTGCCAACGTGTTAATCTTAGACTTCTTCACATTCTGAGTATCCTCATTATCCTCATTGAGTATTTGAAGTACAAACCCAATTTATTATAGATGTTTAAATTGAATTTAATTAATCAATAAATCAATCTACTATTACAGGTTACAAACAAGTATAATCACCAGAAAGACGAATAAGATGACTTAATCTATTTCAATTCTACACTTATACAACATATAATTATAAGTTGATAAATCCTAACAATATGTGATTCTACGAAAGTGATAAAAACATAATCATGCAAACTATAAAGAAAATTAAAGAGAAGGATAAGATAGAAAATATTTAACCAATGTTTATACTAGTTCAACGCATTCGTCATCGCTTTGCACATAATCTAGTCTCCAATGGCGAACCATTGAAAATTCTTAGCTTGTGACAATTTTTACAACGTATTTAATACAATCAAGGAACCAGATAATGTTGAAATTAAAATATAATAAAAAAGCTTAAATCTAAATCTTTCCCTCTACGATATATCTCACATTGTCTCAAAGTTGAGAAGAAACTCAAATATGATAATGTTACTAGAGATTGTAAATGAATTTAGATGCAATTGGAAAGTTTTAAAGGTGTTTTTCTAAAGTTGGTTTCAAAATTTTTAAAAATATTCCCAATTTATGTTGTGTGTGTGTGTGAGAGAGAGAGAGAGAGGCAAGCTAAATAATTCGAGTTAAATTACAAAATGATTTGAATTAAAAACTTAAATTTTATTCTGAACATTTGATTCAAGTCATTGATATGAGTCAAGGATGCAAGTTAAAGAATTCTCTAATTCGAATAACATTGATATAACCATAAACGGGATTTTAAATTGAATTAATGATTCGAATCAACCTTTAGTATGATTCGAATCAAGCTTACTCTTGATTTGAATCAGAGAAACTTGTGATTCAAATCACACTGGAAGAACAAAAACTTTTTCATATTCATTTATTGATTCAAAACATGCATAACCTTAATTTGAATCACACTTCAAAAAGTTATTATATTATAAAAAGTGAAGTGTTTCTTTGAATCAAAATCTAGTGTGATAAAAATCATGCATTTATTTAACCCAAATGTTTGACTAATTAATTTGAACTATTTTGCATTGTCTTTTATCTAAGAGTTCAATTTATTATCTTTTATCTAAGAGTTGATGAAAAATATGATTTAATAAATTACACTCAATTTTCAAATATGTACAAAAATCTAAATTGAAGGAGTCTTAATTACTAAAACTATAAACGATAAAGATAATAAACGGGAAAAACAACAAAATTAAAATCTAGAAGGATAGAGCAACTTCATCCCGAATGCCTCGAGTCTGTGGAATTTTTATATATAGTTGAAAAAATTGAAAAACACTAATGTAAAAATGAAGATTTATTCTCCAAAATTTAGGCTACTATTTTCTTCTAACTCTTCGTGACAAAGAAGATAAGTTTGATTAACCTAATAAACAAGCTTTTGGTGTTCTTATTTTTTATTTCATTTTATTACAGGGCCATTTTTTGTCAACATTTTTTTTTGTTAAATTTCAAGTTTGTGTGGTTGAAAGTTACCATTTCACAATAAAATTGACGGTTTTTATTGTTTTATCCCACTTTTGAAAATTAAATACTAAAATACTTTACTTTAAAAAAAAAGTTTTCAGATGCCCTTGTGATAGTACGTGCTAAGCCAACGAAGTGGCCAGTCGATGAAACATTTTCTGGCACGAAGGTGTTCGGTCAATGAAGTGGCGAGCAGAGCACCCTAGCATTTTTTTTCAAATTATTTTATTATTTAAATAGTTTTAATAATAATTTTAATTATTAAAAATATTTTTTATTAATTTAATAATATTTTAAAAAAATTAATTAATTTTTTAAATTTAATATTTTTTTAAATAGTTAAAATAATTGCTAAATTAATTTATGAAATAAATTATACTAATTATTTTAATCCGTTTTTCCGTTCAATTCAATGGCCGAATGAAGTCACCGTTAAAAAACTCCCGACCAATGAATGACCGAGTGTTTAGAGATTC